ATCTGATAACTTATAACTGAGGACTAATTGCTTTAGTTAAATCCAACTAATCGGTCAAATATTTACATGCAAAAAAGTCTTCAATTAAAGTTAATTTTTTTTTTTTTTTCTTCAAAGCCTGCACTTTTCGCTATTAATAGGCTATAACTTATAGCCTAGTACTAGTTACTGCGAGTAATCATACAAGTAAAGCTTTTCAAACAAAAACAAAAAGGTAATCCTCTCCCCGGCGGGGAATCGAACCCCGGTCTCCCGCGTGACAGGCGGGGATACTCACCACTATACTACCGAGGATTACATGATGAAGTTTGGGGTCAAAAAAAGACAGTATTCTTTGTTACAACGCTAGAAGAATTAATCTGATTAATTAATGTTTAATTTCTTCTTATCAACAGAAAGCGTTTGGAATGTCGAAGAGCGACTTCGAAAGCATCCCGACATGGAAGAAATTGGGCTTAAAAAAGAAGGCGAATTTGTTTTAAACCCAGAAAATCCACTCACACTCACACTGCTAAATTCTGATATTTAATACCTTTACGTATATTATTTCAGTTAATATTTCAGCTTTTACGTTGCCACTCGCTAGTGTACAGCCGACTCAGGAATCGTAATGAAAATTAGTTAATAATGAAGTAATTTAAAACTTGTATTTATGATTGAATATTTATAGAATGTAAACTTTTGGGCTCGATACGACATCGATACGACACACTGGTTGTGCAGCAACCCTTAAAAGTTGAAATCTTGAAGGTTTATTTTCTTGATCCGAGATCCACAGTCCAATCCAGTCCCATTTATTCCAGGTTGTTTGGCGTTTATCAAAACAGGAGCAACTCTAGAAGAATCCAAGATACACAGCTAATCGTAATCAGGCTTTATGCAGTATTTCTTTAGCTTTAGTTTTCCGCTTCAAATTCTTGTAACAAAGTTAGCTTTTCTCCCTTTCCAAGGAATTAGCCTGCGTCACATAGGAATGGACTATTTGAAACTTTGGTTCTGGATATCATTTTCTGTCAGAAACACGTTTGTTACTTTTTTTAGTGTCTTGGGACATGCCGGGAAAGTTTTTTCAGGATCACTTGAAGGAATCCAAAAGCATCGTATTGGTTGTTATTTTATTGTTCTAAATTGAAGCACAGAAATGATTAATAAATTACAAGCCTATGGGCTAGACATGTTTAGTAGAAGTAGAATAAGTAGAGTACGAACTGTTCGCAATAGACTTCATTTTCTTTTGTGGATAGCAACCAAGATGGCGTCCATAGCGACGTCATGCATTTTAGTCACGTGGTTGCACGCCACTAAAATTCATTCACCTGTAAATGGCTTTGGCCTTCTTTTAAGATAATTGTTTTGATCTTATCTCTTTGATATTCTTTTTACCTCACTAAAGCTCAGGTCAAACGTCAAAATTTACATGAGGCGTACGCATTGAATACAATTAATAATAAAGACGGCCTTCTTTTATGTCATTAGGTTCGGCTCATGTGAAATTCGACGTTTGTATTCGGTCTAAGGCAATGAATATAATTTAGAATGAAGTACGGCAACTAGAATAATCAGAATTRTGATTGTTAAATGTGTAAATACTGATAAAAAGAAAAAATTCTCAGTGCACGTGCTAGACTAAATAATTATGATTTGTTAAGCTCAACACATRAATTGTTAAATCCTTGAAATAAAGAATGAGAAAATGTATTTATTAAATGAATCGGTTTTAGATATTTGGTCGAATTTTGAGTATTGACTCACAAACAGGAACTATTTCGGCGGTTGATGCGCAAAACTAAAAAAGATTCTACTGACATCCCATTTAAAAGTTCTAATTTTCCTGCGCCTCTTTCAGTCTTTTATATCTTTATCTCCGCTCCATTCGCAAATAATTTTGACTTGCTCTGCTCTCCTTAAGAATCTCAATTGCAATTCACCTCTTGAACGCTAGCCCAAAACGTGTTGGATTGTGTTACGGTCACCAAAAATAAATGGAAATGAATTGTGCTTCTAGACGGACCCCCTTGGGCAACCCCAGCCTACGCCCCTGTTATCTTTTGCTATTTGTCTTTTCCTTCTACCACACCCTTTCCTTCCTGTCAGATTTTACTTTTTTTGTTGGGGGAAGAACAGGAATAAAAAAATGAAGAAAAAGAGAAAGAATTAACGAACGAACGAACAAACGAATGAACGAAGAAAGGAGCGAAAGTCATTCAAGCCACTGCTGGGCCTGGGTACTACCAGTTCCTCCAAGTGTCTTGTGGGTAATTCGATTCAAGATGGCGGCAGAAGAAGAGAACGTTCCATCCAACACTGTAGAAGAACCACTAGATTTGATACGACTGAGTTTAGATGAGAGAATATATGTTAAGATGAGGAACGATAGAGAGCTCAGGGGAAGACTGCACGTAAGTTTTCTTTGCAGACTTGATTAAATGAGATTAGTTTCCACATAAAACACACGTGGTTAAATATCAAGCTCATAATCTTGACAACTGGAACGTATGTCAGAAACTGTACTAAAATGCCTTTCATTTTTGTCAGTTTTGTTCGGAATAATAATTTCAGACGTAGTTAAAATTTTAAGGTAGAAATCTTTGGCTGTGTTTTGGGAAGAAACTGAGTTGTATAATTGAGTTCAAGGTTTTGCTTTGCATTGATGATGTTGACTATTTTAAGAGAATTAAGACTTATTAGTGCACTTTATGCAAGAGCTACTTAACATACGTCCCTCGAACAAGAAAATATTAGTTTAAAATAATAAAATGTACAGACAATCCAATGACTAAATGAAAATTTACAACTAGGAAGGAATCTACAGTTATAGCTGAACTTGAAAATTTTGATTATTTGTTTGGTTGCTTATTGAAGTATGCATGGGTGCATATATTTTGCTATTGTAGGCATTTGATCAGCATCTAAACATGATCATAAGTGAAGTAGAAGAGACTATAACGACTGTAGAAATCGATGAAGAAACATTTGAAGAACTATTTAAAGTAAGTAAATGACATTACAGTACCTTTGACAGCTGCCTTTACCTTCCCCGAGCACTACCCCTCCCCCTGAAGGGATGGGATCAGGTTTTAAGGTAGAAGATGATTTTGATAATGTACAAGAGTTTACTTAATGCTTATTACTGTTTTCAATGCTAGGGACTGATCCAGASAAAATTTGCAACAGGTTTATTTGCACTAGACTACTGTCAATATTGGCATAAATCATTACCCTGCATGCAGGGCTTAAAAAATGACTGGTTAGTTGCCAGTCACAATGATCAGCCAAATTAGTTAGTTCAATGTTACTGATCAAAATGACCAGTAAGCCAAAAATTTGACKGGACAAGTTTCATATCTGGTCATTTCATGTGTTTGTCTTTCTTTTATGGGTAAAGGTGATCGATGTGGCATCTTAATTCATCTTTTGTTGTATTCTTTTGTGGTAAGGTGTTATCATCAATGGCCATCATTACTGTAACGGAGCTTTATTTGCCCCCTGGATGCTCCAAAATGCATTGTGTCCAAGATGGCCACCATATTGTCAAAGTATTTCATTAATATTGCTTRGTTAAAATAACCATATCTTTTCTGTTTCAGACAACCAAAAGAAACATACCAATGCTGTTTGTCAGAGGAGATGGTGTTATTCTTGTTTCACCACCATTGCGAGTCGGACTGTAGACTTATTTGTATAAAAAATTCTTTTTTTCCTACTTTTACTTTGTAAACTTTTCTTCAAGTTAACATAAAATACTTTATTTCCCTGTACATTAAATTTTTAGACTTCAAAATATCTAGATCAGACAGCAAATACTCTKTATGTTTTTGTATATTAGTTAATGGTGAAATATGTTTACATACATGTCAGAATTATAACTCCTTTATGTGTACTGGTATTTAAGACCCTAATAGTGAGACACATTAAAATAATTATGCATTAATAAAAGAAATTTGGTACATTTTTGTCTTTTATTTTTTCTTTGTATGAATTTTTGGATATTAACCACAAACATTTGAGTTTCATTTTTGCCCCAAAATCCACTGTAGGGCATTAGTCATCTTCAGGGTAATTTTCTTTGGCTTTTGTCRATCAGATAAATTATGTAGATTGGGGAAAGTCTAAGAGCAAAACTAAGACTTGAGTATGTTATTTAATTACTAATAAAACAGGGTCCGGCCCAAAATCCATTTAAAAAAGCTCTTTAGAAAATAAATTTGAGCAAAATAAATAAAAAATAATCATGCATCAAGTGCAAAATTCATAAAGTCCTGATATATAACTTAATTTAAATAAGTGTAAAATTCTTGTATGATAGAGTGCATGCACTAAACCCGTGAATAATATTTAGTACTAATAAATAGTAATTCATACAGAATCCTTTGTTTCCTATTGTTTGATTATCACTATTTAGTACTAAAAATTAGTACTTGTTTCACGGTTTAGTGCAAGCACTCTACAAAATGGAATCATAAATTATTATTCAGTCAAGGACCTCGTAGAACATCAACTGTTGCAATTCATGTATTTTATGCCATAATTATCTTCTAAATAATCTAAAACTGCAGTTGTACTCTTGARAGTGTTGAATACTCTTTTCTCTGTTAGGAAATTAAAGAATAATATTTTATTAGCATTAATAGTACCTGGTAGGTTCAGATGTTATTACCATGTGGGATTCAAGGGTGACATAGCAGTAGTACACTCTTGTCTCTGGGGTCTTGGGTTTGATTCCTTGACTCAGTGTCACATGTGCATAGAGTTTGTTAGACCTCTCCTTGATTAGGCCAAACAAAAAAAATGTGTTTCCTGTTGTGCGATCGACTCTAATTTTCTTGCCAATTTTTGCCGAACCTAATATTGTTTCATTCCCAAATGTACCACAGGGTTCCCAATAAGCTCATTTCCACTGTTGTATCAGTAAAAAAAATCCAACCTACCAACCCCAATTATTTTTCTCATGCAACAGGAAACACACTTATTTTTTTGTTTGGCCTTAAAGGGCATCATTAACTGGAGATTGACATTCACCTGCTTTGGATAAAATCTTATCCAACATGAATATAAGATGATGGTGGAATGCAGAAAATGGAGTGCCAAGGGACAGTGAAATGTCAATCTGAAAGTAAAAATAAAATCTCAAWTAAACTAGTTATTGTAAACCTTACGCATGAGGTAATTGAAGTGCAACCAGTGTCAGCACTTATAAAATTACAATGCAATTACAATAATTATGAAGTTGGTAATCCTAATCTAGTATCCTTTGCATCCGGTTTTAGTGCATCATGCCATGTGATCTCTCCTTTGGATGGAGTGCCATGACAACAGTCATAYTGGATGCCAAGGAGACTGCTTCTAATCATACCCAGTCAGATATGCATTGTAATGGAGTACAATCATACCCAGCATACATTGCTGGGTTATTTAGTATTCCTTGCGCTGCCATAACACCTATGAATAATAAAAGATAAGATATAAAAATCTAACAAAATGAATAAAAAACTTAACCATACCATTCATCACAGACAAAGTATCTAGTATATCTAAGTCATACGATCAAGTGAAATGACTTCCAACCTACCATTAACTCCCGTCTGTTCATAAACCTTTATAACATCTGTTTCACATTTTATGTCTCCATTGGCAATAACAGGTATTGATACACTGTCCTTTACCTAAATAATGAGCATGAAAATAAAACTTAACAGTTTTGTGTCTATTCAAAAGATATTTTTGTTCTGTTTTTTTCTTCTTCTCTAATTTCCTTGCATAATGAAGCAAGCCTTGGTGGTGGTACTAACATGTACAGAGACCCAAATTCTTAATCAACTTTTTGGATCCAGAATTTGGTGGACGTCAATCAATGCGTTTCCATGACATTCCTTAGGCACATGCCCTTAAAAGATTTGTCTTTTCTGACAATGCTGGAAAACACTGATTGGCGTCCACCAAAACTCTATTATGTCTCAAAAAAAAATTTCCTGATTATGATTTCGCGCATGTAATTGAGAAGCAGTGTAAATACTAACCAGCTTTACAACATCCCAGGTTGGTGGTTCATTTCTTTGTTTCACTGTTCTGGCATGGATGCTTATCCATGATGCACCAGCATGTTCTGCTTGTCGACACAGTTCTATAGTTTTGCTGTCATTACAAGATCAAAGTAATATATTYAAGAAGTTTCATAATGTTTGATATAGATCCTTTTAGCTWGCCTCCTCCACARGCTACTCCATATATTCTATATTYGCTATATTCTATATTCTYTGTTGGGATCCCTGTATCAAATTWTATGGAGCAAAAAGAGCCMAGGAGATGCCTGYRGAGGAGGCTMMCTTTTAGCTTGGGAGTAATACTTTTCCACATCAGACCATTTCTCATTCTTRAGAGTATAACTTCTTTGTTTAAGAGTTGCACAGGAAAGACACATGAAMATGGGTCATACTGTAACTCAAACAAAGAATCTTATTCACCAAGGAATGACATGTGGTCTATAATGGTAAGACACTGCACCACAACAAAATCACCACAACGAATAAGGTTTATTCAGTTCACACTAACCTAGGATCTTTATCAATTCTTATTTTGATAGAAACAGGTAAATCATTGACTCTTGATTTCGTTTGTCGTACCATATCTTGAATCAGCTCAGGTCTTTTTATCAGAAAAGCACCATACCCCTCCTGCATAGCCCACCTAAGGCCGATGAGAGGTTATAAAGGAAGAAAAAGATTAGACTGCTCTATATGGAAGCCCTTTATATCAATAAAAATTTGACTGCATATATTGAATGAAGAGAAAGGACAAAGTACCTTTGTGGACAGCCACAGTTCAAATCAACACCATCTGCAAACCTATCATTGTATATTAACAAAAGATTGAAATCAGACATTAATCAACTTAAGACGAAACAAAACGTTTGTCATAGACTATACACTTACTGTGCAACCATCTCTGAAGCATCTGCAAAATCTTTGGCACAACTGGCAGCAAACTGGACTATGAGAGGACGATCACCTTGGAGAAATGCCAATGCCAATCATTCATTATTTTCAACTTTAAATTTTGTTAAACTTTCAGATGAAAAGTAAGGACTACATTGAAGAGTTTATATTTGGGCAGGGGACTAGCCCATCCCAGTCACATCACATAGTGCCTGACAAGATACACCCAGGCCCTATAAGTAGGAAAGGTAGGGGTACTGCTATACTATACCCAAGCAGTACTGTTTTCTAGTGTTGGTATACCTGCGTTGGTGGTGAATTCATTATCCCTTGCCTTCTGTGATTTAACAAATGAATCTGAAATAATCATTGGTGTGTAACACAAGTCGCAGCCATATCTAGAAAAAAGTAATGATTAGTAAGCTTAATAACTTAAATATATCGTTTTTTTCTTCTCATGATATAAATATTGAAACTTAATTTTACTTAAGCTCACAAAGAATTTAGACTAAGAATAACAGTGAGTTAATTTAATAAGAAAATATAAGTTACCTCCTAACCAATTCCCTAAACGCTAACCTAAAAAAGGATAAGACAATTTCAAAGTTACTGTAGACACAAATAAGCTTATGCGGGAAATCTCGAAATGAGGTGACAAGCGCGAGCAAAACAATGCRCACCTAAACAAAATTACGTAATTCTTTGAAACTTACTTTGAATACCTAACCATTGGAGCACAGATTCTTAATATTTTCTTTTCTTCAAACAATTCTAGAGGTTTTTTATACTGCCAAGGCGAGCTCTCAATGTTTTCTTCGTTTTCTTYATCTTCGTCCGCCATGTTGAATTCTACCCAGCATTACTAGCAAGCGGTATGGGGAGCATTATTTACCCTAAAACTTTTGACTTAATATCAAAGACGTCCCTGTGAAATAAAATCCTTTTTCATGATTTTCTTGGCTAAATTATCAGCCATAACACAACAATAAGAACAAAGACATTCTATTTAAAGTTTTATTCACTCTTAAAGCGTTCTTAGTAATTTCTTGTGAACTTTGGAAGCTTGGGGCATTCTTCCTCTACATCAGACACCTCCTATTCTTTATGTCCCAAACATTATAAATAACTGTAATTCAACTTTGTTGACACGATTAATAGAAATAATAGCCTTCTTCATGAAGTTTTCAGAACACAATAAAAGCATAATTATTGAGATAAAAGGTTTTTATCTGTTTTTTTATTTTTTATCGAAGTTCCCTTTCTAGGTTTCTTTGGAAGGCCCCCTTCAGCTATATGCGCGTAGAGGACGCATTTTGCCCTTGATACGCGCACTTCCTTTCAACACACCAAGAAATGCTTCAAAAATAACTCCACATTTACAGCTTTTTCTCCCTAACTTTCACTTTTCTTCTTTCTTGAGCTGCAGAAATACAAATGGCAGATCTTCCACGAGGTTTTTATCGATCAGAATTAAATAAAACGGTCTGGGAAGTTCCGGAAAAATATCAAAATTTGAGTCCTATCGGAACTGGTGCTTATGGTCAAGTTTGGTAAGTAAGCTAAAATAACAACCCTAAAAAACCCTGGAAAAACGTTCTTCAGTGGCTTGCCTGGATAGTATTTCTTACAGGAGTCGATGTTAAACCTTTTTAAAATATATTTATCAGTATTCGCCACGGTTTCTAATTGACATATATCGGTGTTAATGATTTTCAACACCCTGGACTTGTTTGAAGCTTCTCTGAAAGTTTTTAACATCTTTCACTCTTGAAGTATTAATAACCTAACAGTCGTAGTGATATATATTTTTGTGTGTTGTATTGTAGCATTTGTAGTTATTTGTCAGTACTTGCTTAGGGTATCATAAACAACCCGTAAACATCGGAGCAGAAGACGTGTTAAAATGCAAATAATACTGCTTACTGTATATTATATATCAGTTTCGAAACTGTTTGTTCAGTTGAAAGGAGTGCTTCGTAGTTTATAGAAGATTATTAGCACTAATGTATGGTTTAGATATGTGCAGGGGATAACTAGAAATGGAAATATGTCTAGCACACTGAATGATATATGGAATGGCAACAACAAGACATCACAACATAACTCTCCCCCTCCCCCCTCACCCCTCACCCCTCCCCCCTCCCCCATAGACTTAGCTAGCCACCCTCCCCTCTGGTTACACTGGCAAATGCATAATTCTTATAATTCTATTACAGTTCAGCTGATATAACAAATGGAGGTGATGGTGATGATAGTACGCCAAGATCGGTTGCTATTAAGAAGCTTTCAAGACCATTCCAGTCACCAATGCATGCCAAAAGAACATTCCGAGAACTAGAACTACTACGACACATGAAACATGAAAACGTAAGTTAACTTCAGTACACTAGTTGTACCTCCAGCAATTATCTTTTGGCCTTCAGGCCATCTATTGACCAGCTGTTATCTTGAAGTTGTTTTACATGCTATGAGTTGTCAGCCTGATTTGCTGGTCTGCCAGTATCAGGAGTTTATTGGGAGGCAAGTTGTATGTGTAGTTTAGTACTGATTCATGCGCCATTCCTATTGAATTGAATTAGCCCGACTCACAAAATCTGTTTCACTTTAATATTTTTTTGTGTGTGTTGGGCCGATTATTGGATTTCGGACCAAAATGCAACGAATGGTAGTGTGTAAAACCTCCCGATAGACCCCCAATACTGTCATACCAGTGAATGGGGCCAACAAATCGTAGCATGTAAATCCACCTTTYGGCCTGGGCTTCCTGTGATATGAGATAGATATTATAGAAAACTGGGGYGTTAGGAATGACTGGAAGAGTAGATGGTAAACGTAACATCTTTAAATTTTCCAAGTATTGGTGATTCTTAAAGAGTTGGTTACACTAGGATTTTATTTGCTGAATGCACCTTTTTTWAATATTTTGCAGGTTATCAGTCTGCTTGATGTTTTTACAACTTCCTTGGTTTATGAAAACTTTCAAGATGTGTAAGTTAACAATTACAATGTAGCAGTTTTTGTTATAACATTATTATATCTTGAATACTCAATGTTTATCCATGATCTGTCTGCTTGGTTTTAGATATATGGTTACAGAGCTTATGGGAGCAGACCTTAACAGTATTCTAAGATTTCAAAAGCTGACAGATGAACATGTTCAGTTTCTGGTTTACCAAATTTTGAGAGGTCTAAAGGTAATAGAAACTAAAAGATTATTATAATTATTTATGATTATAATCATTATTATTATTAACTATTGATAAAAGTTTTCACTCTCACCCCTCCCTCCCTCAATCTATCCATCTATCTTCCCATCCATTGTGTAGTTCCAGAAAAATATCCATGCCCCACCATGGAGGAAATCAGAAATTCCCAGGGGGTGTGGGGTCTGAGGAAAAATGAAATTGCAAGGAAATTCCAATTTTTTCCAAGTTCCTCTATGGTGGAGTATGAAAGTTTTCTGGAACCGAAAATTCATTCAAACTTGTTTCTGTCTGTCCATCCATCCGTGAATCGACATTATAGGTAAATAAGTTTACTAAGTACCATTCTTTTGTTTTCAGTACATACACTCAGCAGGAGTTATTCACAGGGTAAGTAGGTCGTTATTACATTAAACAATAATTGATGCTGACACTCTTAGTTACTCTAAATTTCATTTCTTGAGAATATTTAAGCAGCTAACAATTCAGTGCTCGCATCTGAAATGTATCTTTTTTTCCAGGATTTAAAACCCAGTAATATTGCTGTCAATGAAGACTGTGAGTTAAAAGTAAGCAGTTCAATGGAATTGGGGTTGAATTTACAACATTAAACCAAATTCATATACATTTTATAATGCTATTTCTTCTAGCTATGATCATCATTTTTTTTGCACATTTATATGCTTACCTCATTTTTTCCTTGTAGATATTAGACTTTGGTTTAGCTCGGATGACCGATAATGAGATGACTGGATATGTTGCCACAAGGTGGTATAGGGCCCCAGAGATCATGCTCAACTGGATGCATTATAATCAAACTGGTTAGTTGATAAGGATGTGATAGCTGATGAGTAGAGTTACAAATAAATCTATTTTTATCTGACACATTTTGTTTATTTGATATGTTAATAGTTGACATCTGGTCTGTTGGTTGTATCATGGCTGAACTTCTTACAGGGAAAACATTATTCCCTGGCAATGATCATATCCTTTGAAAAAATGCAATAATCGGTCATCAATTATTTAACATTGATTTATTTCATTGTTTGATCATATTCCATATTTATGATTAGAGGATTTCTTAACTATGCCTCACATATTGACCAACTGACAAAAATTATGAAACTTGTTGGCAAACCATCTGTAGACTTCTTGCAAAAGATAGTTAGTGACTCAGTAAGTATATAGTGGCCAGGGCTTTAAACAATGGCTGGACATTGAGCAATGTCTGGTCAGAACAGTGACTTGTCCAGTAAGATCTTTGCCTTGCTGGTCATTTTGACCAGTAACATTTAGCCAGATATGAGGCTGTGACTAAGCTAAAACTAATTTGGCCTGTGATTCTGACCAGCGACTGCTCAGC